TTTATAGATATATAAATCTGACTCTCTCTTTATAAGAGATTATTTAAGTCTCTTCAATTCTTTATTTCTGCAGAGTTAATCTCTGCTGTGAGTAGTTTCTGAATATACTAAGTATATTCATTCTTCAGTTACAGTTCAGACAATCTGAATAGAAGATCTTATAAAGACTTATACTCTATTTTTTCTTATATCAGATCTTCTACAGTACTTCTCAAAGCCTGTAAATCTTTCAGATTATAGATACTCTCTTCAAGAATTCTCATAGAGATTCTCAGAGTGTTAACTCTCAGTATTATAGAGAGTAGTTATATAGGCTTCTTTCCTCTCTTTTTCTTCTTCTCTTATAGAGAATTGAGAGACTCTTCAGTTAATCTCTTTATAATACTCAGTTTAAGTATTCTGTGAAGCTTTTCTATCTTCTCTAGTCTCTCTATATCTGTTACTCTGATCTTCTTAACATAGTCTGATCTGTGAGAGAGTTTATTCACTGAGTTCTTAGTTCTCTTAATATACTCTATCTTGAATCAGAACTCAATCAGTCTCTGAACTCAGTGAATGTATCACTGTAAGAGTTTCTTAATTGAAGTAAACTGTTATAAGCTATTATAATCAGTTCTAACAGTAATTACTGTTACAAGACTCTTAAAGTAGTATTATCAGTGATAGAAGAATTTCACTATTATAAGAAACTCTTGATTATAAATATCATAGTTGATCTTCACAGATTACATCTTCTGTGAGAAAAAGATCACTGAAACTCAGTTCTCATTTGACTGTAGTTATAAGACTATTTCTGAAATTATAAAGAAGAAGATATCTGTCTTTAATCTAATTAAGAGTAAGAAATCAAACTAGAATAGTATCACTGTGTCTGTAAATATCTGTTTCAATCTTATAAAAATCTCATAAGCTTCTGTGATAAGAAAGTTCTTACAACTCTCTCTTCTCAATAATCTTTTCATTCTTTATTTATAGAATGACTTCTTCTTATTTTCACTCTTCAGCATGTCTGTAAGAGCTAAGAAGATTCTCATGAATATAAAGATAAATTATTTATAGAAATTTACAATGCTTAGAAAGATCTGAATCTTATAAATACTAGTTAGCTACAGTTATAATAGAATAGTCTTAACTTATAAAGATTTCATCTAAATATTATCTGTGATAATTACATATTCTAAGAAATTAGTCTGATGAGTACTGAAGTTATATTTTATAAGCTTAATATACAGTTCTATCTTATCTAAGATCTTTAATACACTTTATACATGCTCAGTGTATTCTTTCTTCTTCATAAAGTACATCATCACAATATTCAGATATATTATCACAAAGACATTTAAATATTCATGAAGTATTTTATTAATAAAAGACTGAAATACTGTGAAGATATTAGTCAAATCAAAAGATATTACTAGATATTCAAATAATTTCAGTAAAGTTTTAAAGACAGTCTTTCATTCATCTTCAGATTATATTTACAGCTGTGTAGATACATTGATTACATTCAGTTGTATGAATATGACAGCTTCTGTAAGACAGTTAATTACATTCTCAATCAGAGATAGAAAGTAGTAACTCTTTATTATCTTAAAGTTCAGATTATAATAGTCTACATACAATCTGAGATCTCTATTCTTCTTCTTTATAAATATCACAGAGGCTTTCATAAAGGTCTGTGAAGATCAGATACAGTTATTCTTCAGATTTTTCTTTATATAGGCCTGCAAGATCTCTGTCTCATCATAAGAGAGCTTATAAATTGATTCTCAGAAGAGCTTCTACTCTTCTATTAAATCTACTATCAGATTCTTCTTACAGTAAGAAGAAAGCTCAGCTGTCTTTACTGAGCTAAATATCTCTATAAGATCTCAGTATTTCTCTGATATCTGAAGCTCAGTTTTCATAACTGTGAAGTTCTCAGATATTTGTAAAGTTATTATATAGATAAGCTTGTCTTCTCTAATTAACTCTACAGCATTAACTGATTCTATCTCTGTAAGTGAGTCTGTTAACACCGATTGAAAGTATAAAGCTGACTTACAGATAGCTTTGTGTGAATTGTGTCTTTAAAGTTATATAAGTCTTAAGTATATATCATCTGTGATGTCTGTGATAATCACAGTTTCTACAAATCTTCTTCAGATTTCAGAGAGATCTTGTAATTCAAAAATAACTCTTATAAGTCTCTCAGTTCTCAGATCTGAGTTCTCACACTCTGCTTATTATAAGAGCAGATTCTTAGTTTTCATTATTCAGCTTATTCACTTCATGAGCTTTGGAAACACTACAGTGATCTGAGATTCTAAGTTCATTAATACTTCTTATACTTATAGAGCAGTAGTACTGCAGTATAATCTCTTCTCACAGATAAGCATTTTCATCAGAAGAGTAACAGATTCAGATATCAGTTTCAAGACTCTTAAGAAGACTGTTACTGACTCTGTTTATAACTTCTTAAATTTATATTTTAATTTGTTCAGACAGTTAATGTAAAGATATTCTGATCTAGAATAGATGAAGCAGAGACTCTTTTTCTTAATCTCTCTATTATACACTCTATTTATAGAAGCTTATGAAGCTCTTTCTCTCTACTCAGCAGTCAGATATGAAACTCTCTATATCTTATTATCTTTCTCTGATAAATCTGTTCTCTGTTATTCTGACTCTTATAGAGCTGATCAATGATCTGCTCTTTACAGGTCTATGACTCTCACAGTGATCTACAAGCAGTGAATGAGAGTTATCAGTTTCTTCAGAGTCAAGAACTTAGATCTTTACTCAATAAGCTTGTTCTGCATATCTTGTTTCAGAGCTCTGTTTTCACAGATCTCAATTCATATCACAATTTCATCAAATACAGTAAGTAGTCTTCATCAGATTTCTTACCTCCTTTTCTAATATTAATGATTATAACTCAGGTATTCTCTGTTTAACTTGCAGAGTTCTTTAACTTATTCTCTAGATAGGTCTTGAGAACAGATCAGTGAGATCTCTTATAATTATTCTCTAAATAATTCAGTCAGTTCTTGACTTCAGTGTAGTAAAGATCTGTTATTATGTAGATAACAGCTTCTTCATCTTTTATATCACACAGTCAGACTTGTGAGTTGATTTTAAATGCAAACTCATAAAAGCTTTTATAGATTGTAATTCAGTAAGTGATCTTAAGTAATTATAGCTTAACAAAGTTTCTTTTCAGTAGACTGACCGTGTGACCGTGTCTAAGACTAGGATCAGAATTTTTGATAGTCTCATTACTAATTTGACAGATCTCATTACACAGTTCTAACATTAGATAGTAGTTTCATACTGTCTCAGTGAGACTTACTGTCTACTCTTATTACATTTTTCAAATGAGATCATGATTTTCACTTCTCAATTTAAATTATTTTTATTGCTTTAAATGACTTTGAATCTTATTTAAGTGTTATCAAAAAGTGTTACTTTTTAAAAAATTAAAAATAGTCTAAAAAAACCTTAAAATGTCTAAAACTAGTAAGTTTATGTCAAGAATGAGACTAAATGAGATCAAATAGAACCACTTTCTCATTTTTTTCAAGTCATGATTTCATTTTGAGATCTGATATATAGTCACTTTGCATGTTTGTTTAATGATTAGTCTCAGTGGGATTCACGCCAAGAAAGATATGAGACCAGATCAAATGAAATCAAACGTGAAATTCATGGTCCCAGCGGCCAGTCTACTTTTCAGTTCATAGATATTTCTGAAAATCATGTCTAGAGACTCAGTTCAAGAATGTTTATAAGTAGTAAGCATTTCTTATGGAAAAATAGCTTGATTCTGTAGAAGATGCTCAAGAATATTCTTTTATAAGAATAAGTGCTCACAGGTGATTATTCAGGTGTTTGCAGCTTGGCGTGATATGTACTGTTAACTACTAGAAGTGTTCACAGTAGAAAGATAAAATGTAGAAATCAAATGTATAATAGCATTCAAGCTGAGTTGTGAATAGTATTCATGAACTTCAGTCTATATAGTTGTGTGTAGCCAAGGGCCGCTAGCCCTATTAGTTACATAAGAGATAGAGATAGAGGTAAAGAATCTGTGAGAAGTGAAATTTCTTACATATCTCTCTCTCTCTAAGGCTTTGTCTGCAAAGCCTTTCACTGAGTGACTTCATAGTCAGCTCAGCACTGCAGTGATACTCACTAAAAATCCTTCACATCTATAAAAAACCTCAGTGAGGAAAAATCCCTTGTTATTACAAAGAGAAAAGAGTCTGTCACTCAGTTTCTTATTCTGTGAGATTCTTTATAATCTACAGATTCTTCTCTGACTATCACACAGATTCATCTCACATCTTTCATACAGAAGAGTTTCAGTTGACTCTCAATCATTTTTATAAGATTCTTGTATGATCATCACACAGATTCATCTCACAGATGAATCACTCTTTGTGAGATCACTCTCATCAAAGAGAAATATTCACAAGTTAATCTTTCACTTATTCTTACAAATCATTGCTCTTTGACACTGTAGAGTTATGAGGAATTTTCCATTCTTTCATCAACTCTGTAGAATTGTAGAATCAAGATATCTGTGATCTGCAATTACTCTTTGTAGTCATATAGAAAGATTCAGACCTGTGATTCACAATCACTCTTATTTACTAGAGTGATCTGACTGTTTCATGAAATCACTCACAGTGTAAGCAAACCTCTCTAGAGTAGTATAAATATCTCAGATCTGTTCACAGAATCTCATCTTCTTTTCTCTTTTTCTATAACAGCTCTCATTCTTATAAACTGTGAGTATTCTCATTCATCTGTGAAGTGTTTTCACTCAGATGACAGAGAGAGAGTGTTTCTAACAATATTCATGTATTGATTCAAGAACTTCTCAAGAATAAAAAATTTTCAATTTCAATCTTTTCACAATAATATCTGATTGCTGCTGAGCTTCTCATGAGTGTTCTCATAACTTCTCTGATCACTTTTTACCAGCTGATGAAGCAGGGATGCTGTCACCCATAACTATGTCTTCATCCTTCTCAGTCTCATCACTGCACCTGATCTTCAGGCCAGCAGCCAACCCTCTGCCTCCCTCAGGCCAGCCCCTGGCTTCAAGCAGTGCAGTCCCCCTCTTTGCTGTAAGTCTTCTCATAAGTAAGTTCTCACAGACTCTAGCTGATAGTTCTTGCAAAGCTCTCTGTGTTGCCAGTGCCTCCTGCGGCCCTGCAGGCCTATGATCACCTCTTCTCTGTCTACACAATCTCTGACCAGGCATATGCAAATATGCCTAGGTTCTCTACCAATGATCCTCACGCTGCAGCACATTTCCACAATCTCATTATCAATGAGAGATGAGTCTCTGAGTACCTGCAAAATCCAGGTAATCAAGGCAATGTGAATATCATGAATTCATGACAGGAGTTGACCTGAACAGATGAGCTCTCTCTTCATATTCTCATTGTTTTCAGGCTGGATACTCCAGCACAACTGAGAGAGTGAACACAGCTTTGTAAGGAATATCTGGTCACATGTGCAGATGATCAGTCTTCAAGGTCCTGCTGTAACTGTATATACTCTGGTGTTCAGCTTCTCTGAAGTCTGTGCATTTCTGACAGTCTTCATACCAAATGTAACAATTATCTATACTATGAGTATAATACTCTCTGCTCCTTTAAAGAGAAAAATTGATAGTTATGAGGAGATTAAGTGTCACAGATATTGATAATGTGAGTATGAATTTTCTTTATTTTTTCTTTATTGATCTCTAAATTGTATTTACAGTTCTGTTTGTTTTCTTGTTTTTTAGCTTTAATAAGAATATGTTTTCTTCTTTCCTTGTATATACTGCAGACTGTTCATCTCAGTAGAAACTCATCATCTTATAGACTAGAGTTTACAAATGATAGTGTTAATATCTTTATCACAATCAGGTTCTTAGTGAAGATCACATTATTCTGACTTATCAGAATTCATAGTATGAAAGTCATGTCTTAGCTTCTGCAGATATCTTATCTGTCTGAATAATTCTTAAGTGAACTCATTCATCTTGTCAGAATACTCTTATCACTGAATCTTGAATCAGAGCTCATAATCTTGCTTTTCTGAGTTAATAATCTCTTTGATCTGATATTCTCTTTCACTCTCTAATGCTTTGTGAACAGAGTGATGAGTTACAGAGTTCTTTTCTAAGAATTCCTTATATTCATGAAGCAAAGAGACATGAAAAATATTATATATCTGTAACTCAGATAACAGTTTCAATCTGTAGAACTATGAGCTAACTTTCTTCATAATCTTACAAGGCTCTGTCTACAAGAGATTCAGCTTCTTACTAGATCTCTATATGATGATATTTTCTAGACTTAGTCAGATTCTATTATCTTTCTTAAAACTCTTCACAATGTGCTTGAAGTCATAGTATCTCTTCTGATACTCTTGAGCCTTTCTCAAGAATTTACAGACTTTCTTCTGAATCTTCTGAATTCTCTCAGCTCATTCACAGGCATCATCATACTCTATAGTGTACTCTTGTGAGTTCATTAAGATCATTTACAAATGAGTCTCAGTGAGCATCTTAAAGAGGATTTTATCTGTACTGACATACTTTGAGTTGTTGTATATAAACTTCATAAGTGATAATCAATACACTCAGTCATTCTGATTGTAATTGACAAAGCACTGCAGATACTGTTTTAATATACTCATCAGGCATTCTATCTGATCATCTGTCTGTTGATAAAAAGTCATGCTTAGATCTTGTGAGATCTTCAGTATAGTTATCAGATCAGATCAGAACTCTTCTGTGAAGATTGATTCTCTGTCTGAGATAATGTTCACAGACAACTCATACAATCAGATTACATTGTGAACAAAGATGTGAGTCAAATCCTTTGACTTCAAGTCCTTGCAGATGAGTATAAAGTGTGCTATCTTAATGAAGTGATTCACTATTATCAGCACACTGTCAAAGCAGGCATCATATATGTCCTTGCTTTCAGAGAGACTCACAAGAGCATTCATTCCTAGCTGTTTCCAAGGTTCTCACAGAATAGATAGAGAAGCAAGTTCTTCATATAATCTGAACTGCACTATTCATGAATTCTGACAAATAGCATAAGAATTCACTATCTTCTTCACAAGTTCTCACATCTTCAGTCAGAAGTATTTCCTTATGAGCAACTCATGAGTTCTAGTGTCTGTAAAATGATCTGCTAGAGAAGAGTTATAATATCTTTTAATAAGTTCTACATGTAGAAACTCATTCATAAGCATATAAATCTAACTCTCTCTTCACAAGAGATCATTTAAGTCTCTTCAATTCTTTATTTCTGCAGGATTGATTTCTGCTGTAAGCAGTTTCTGAATATACTGAGTATATTCATTCTTCAGTTGCAGTTCAGACAATCTGAATAGAAGATCTTATAAAGACTTATACTCTGTTTCTTCTTGCACCAGGTCTTTCACAGCACTTTTCAAAGCCTGCAAATTCTTCAGATTATAGATACTCTCTTCAAGAATTCTCACAGAGATTCTCAGAGTGTTGACTCTCAGTGTTATAGAGAGTAGTTGTACAGGCTTCTTCTCTCTCTTCTCTCTCTTCTCTTATGAGGGATTGAGAGACTCTTCAGTCAATCTCTTCATAACACTCAGTCTGAGCATCTTATGAAGCTTTTCTATCTTCTCTAGTCTCTCTATATCTGTCATTCTGACCTTCTTAACATAGTCTGATCTGCAAGAGAGTCTGTCTGCTGAGTTCTTAGTTCTCTTAATATGTTCTATCTTGAATCAGAACTCACTCAGTCTCTGAGCTCAGCAAACCTGTCATCACAAGAGTTTCTTGATTGAAGTAAACTGTTGTAAGCTGTTATAATCAGTTCTAATAGTAATCACTGTTATAAGGCTCTCAAAGTAGTGACATCAGTAATGAAAGAATTTCACTATCATGAGAAGCTTCTGATCATGAATGTCATAGTTGATCTCTGTGAGTTGTATCTTTTATAAGAAAAAGACCACTGAAACTCAGTTCTTATTTAACTGTAGTTATAAGACTATTTCTGAAATTGTAAAGAAGAAGGCATCTGTCTTCAATCTGATTAAGAGTAAGAGATCAAAGTAGAACAGCATCACTGCATTTACAAATATCTGTTTCAATCTTGTAAAGACTCTGCAAGCTTCTGAGATAAGAAAGTTCTTACAGTTCTCTCTTCTCAACAATCTTTTCATTCTCTGTTTATGAAATAACTTCTTCTTATTTCCACTCTTTAGCATGTCTGTAAGAGTCAAGAAGATTCTCATGAACACAAAGATAAATCATCTATAGAAATTCACAAAGCTCAGAAAGATCTGAATCTCATGAATACTAGTTAACTTCAGTCATGATAGAATAGTCTCAATCTGTGAAGATTTCATCTGAATATTATCTGCAGTGATTATATATTCTAGAAAATTAATTCAGCAGACACTGAAGTTGCACTTTACAAGCTTAATATACAGTTCTGCCTCATCTAAGATCTTCAACATGCTTTGCACATACTCAGTGTGTTCTTTCTTCTTCATGAAGTACATCATCACATTATTCAGATATATTATCACAAAGACATTCAGATATGCATGAAGTATTTTATTAATGAAAGACTGAAATACTGTAGAGATATTAGTCAGATCAAAAGACATCACTAGATATTCAAACAATCTCAGTGCAGTTCTAAAGACAGTCTTTCATTCATTCTCAGACTGTATTCACAGCTGTGTATATACATTAATCACATTCAGTTGTATGAATATAACAGCTTCTGTGAGATAGTTGATCACATTCTCAATCAGAGACAGAGAATAGTGACTCTTTATTATCTTGAAGTTCAGGTCACAGTAGTCTACATATAATCTGAGATCTTCATTCTTCTTCTTCATGAACATCACAGAGACTTCCACAGAGACCTGTGAAGATCAGATGAAGTCATTCTTCAGATTCTTCTTCATATAGATCTGCAAGACCTCTGTCTTGTAATGAAAGAGCTTATAGATTAATTCTCAGAAGAGTTTCTACTCTTCTATCAAATCTATTATCAGATTCTTCTTGTGATGAGAAGAAAGCTCAGCTGCCTTAGCTGAGCTGAACATCTCTGCAAGATCTCAGTATTTCTCTGATATCTGAAGCTCAGTTTTCATGACTGTGAGATTCTCAGACACTTACAAAGTCATTATATAGATGAGCTTGTCTTCTCTAATTAACTCTGCAGCATCAACTGCTTCTATCTTCATAAGTGAGTCTGTCAACACTGATTGAAAGTATAAACCTGACTCACAGACAGCTATGTGCAGATTGTGTCTTTAAAGTCATGTAAGTCTTAAATACATGTTATCTGTGATGTCTATAATAATCACAGTTTCTACAAATCTTCTTCAGGTTTCAGAGAGATCTTGCAATTCAAAGATGACTCTTATGAGTCTCTCAGCTCTCAGATCTGAGTTCTCATGCCCTGCTTATTGCAAGAGCAGGTTCTCAGTCTTCATCTTTCAGCTCATTCACTTCATGAGCTTTAGAAACATCACAGTGACCTGAGATTCTGAGTTCATCAATGCTTCTCATACTTGTGAGACAGTAGTACTGCAGTGCAGTCTCTCTTCACAAGCAAGCATTTTTATTGAGAGAGCAACAGATTCAGGTGTCAGCTTCAAGACTCTTAAGAAGGCTGTTGCTGACTCTGTCTGCAACTTCTCAAATTTCTATTTTGATTTATCTGAACAGTTTGCATGAAGATGTTCTGATTTAGAACAGATAAAGCAGAGTTTCTTTTTCTTAATCTTTCTATTGTGCACTCTGTTCACAGAAGCTTATAAAGCTCTCTCTTTCTACTCAGCAGTCAGATATAAATCTCTCTGTGTCTTGTCATCTTTTTCTGACAAATCTGTTCTCTGTTGTTCTAGCTCTCACAGAGCTGATTGATGATTCACTCTCTGTGAGTCTGTGACTCTCACAGTGATCTGCAAGTGATGAATGAGAGTCATCAGTTTCTCCAGAGTCAAGAGCTTAGAGCCTTGCTCAATGAGCTTGTTCTGCATGTCTTTATTCAGCTTCTTTACAAATATCATCATTCAGGTCTTATTTCAGAGCCCTGTTTTCACAGACTTCAATTCACATCACAATTTCATGAAGTACTGTGAGTAGTCTTTATCAGATTTCTCATCTCTTTTTCTAATATTGATGATCACAGTTCAGGTGTTCTCTGTCCAGCTCACAGAGTCTCTCAACTTGTTCTCTAGATAGGTCTTGAGAACAGATCATTGAAATCTCTCATGATCATTCTCTAAATGATTCAGCCAGTCCTTGACTTCAGTGTAATAGAGGCCTGTTA